ACATATATACATATAGCGATATAATTGACGCCAATTAATAATAACAAATAAACATTTAACAAGTAAGTAACCCAAGGTTTATTATTATAAAACTGTCTTCTTCTTACTTATTTCTCTATAATAATAATTATTCTTGGAATAATCACCATTTGGCAAATTCCACGTATTTATTTTGTGTATAACTATATATATATTATAACGGGGTGGTTACTTGCCCGCGTTATTTCGCGAGAGAACGGTGAATATATTATACAGCTCGTTGCGGGCGTACGATAACCGCACGAGACTATGCCCGGATACTTAGTTACGCCTTAAGGCCCGCGGGAGCGTCGTGGATTCAGCAGCTAGTCTTCGATTTAATTCGTCGACGGGGAAAGCGTGGAAGGTTGTAAAGTTGGGTGTAAATAAGAGGAAGGAATACATAAGACAAACGGTATTTATATAACATGTGGGTTTACATAGAAGGCAGCGCAGCGATAAAGAGAGAGAAAATAACTAGCTAGCGAGAGAGAAACAATGTACGCAAGAAGGTACTTACATATGCGGACTGGGCCACGGGTGAGCCTTATCAAACACTCGAATACAGTGGAACAAACGGCAGACTCGCACTTGAATAGTCCCATACACTCTCTCACAGCACTCTCTATACACCAATTGCAATGAGGAGTTTCTCTTTCTAACTGCCGCAGGGCCAAACTAAGAGCCTAAATAAAAAAGGTAGTAGCCGATCTTCCCTGCAAAAGCCGGCCGGCGGAAGCACGTGTGCTTTCGGACGCAATCCACAAGCTAATGTCGCGGCAGAGCTCCCCACTCTCTCTCCCCTTTTCTATCGAACCTAAGTCGGTTCCTATCGCGCGACCGTCTCTCTCTCACACATCAGCACACCTTCGGTTTGGACCTGCACGAGCTTATCCTTCCTCTCGCTAGTTCGCGTTGCATATTATGTATTCTCTCTCTCTCTTACCTCGTACTCTATTGTCTGCTGCGGCTGCCACTTCTAGGCATTGTACATAAATTAACATTATGCCAAATAAAGAATATAAATATAAGTATATAAGTATATAAGTATATAAGTACATAAATAAGAGTGGTCGTTTGAGAGAGAGAGAGACATAACGAGTGGTTTATCACACGTTATAATATATATATGTGAATACATATATATATATATATATATATGTGTGATTGTTAAATTCTTAACTATTTTGGCTTTGGTATTTTATTCTCGAGACTCTTCTTATTTTATTGTTATAAATACCTCTCGCCCCGACCCGTCGGACTAGCGTCACACGATCTTTTCGATTACGTCGTATGATAGCCTACGCTGACGAAGTGTTTAACAATTAAGCACGTCCCCAGATAATATAATATGCATGTGTATAGGATGAATAGTACGTCTGCAATGTTTTGATTATATTTAAAAGAACTTAAATTCAAATTGCTCGTCAAACGCAGCCATTACTACCTTTGATACCTTTGTCGTTAACCAGTGGAGTCGAGACTAATAAGAGTTTCGATCCATATCATTATTTTATTATATATACATATATGAATAATTGTGACTATATTTGCGATAGTAATAGAAGGACCCATATACAAATATATTTTAGTTATTTGATTTTTTTTTATTACTATTTATGTCGCATAAAATATACTTATATATAAATTATATTTATCAAATAACTAGCGAGCGTTAGTTTTGTTTAAAAGAGGGAAAATAAGAAAATTCTCAATAGTACAATATGTAGCTATTGTTTGATATAAATTAATAGTAGCCTCGGGAAGTACTGATTATTTATTTTCAAGTACAATTCGATATATAGACTAGTAGTAAGAGCAAAAGTCCAAAGAAAGAGGTATTTTAACAAATATATTTTATATTCTCATACTATTTTTTAAAGAAATAAGAAAAATGTAGACATCTGATAAATTGTCAAATCTTAATTAGTTTATTCTTATTTGAGCTCTGTAAGTCCATAGGTTATATGGTAAATTTAGTAAATTATAATTCTTGATTGAAACATTTTAAATTCTTTATTGTAGCTATACAATGTCCAAAGTATAAGCTGAATTAAAATTTCTAGAGCAAATTGAACAGAATATAAAGAGCTGATTTTGTTACTGTTATCGTCAGCAGTATATTTTGACACTTCAGCATTTGGTTTAGACCTAAAATATCTAAATTAAAAAAGAATTAAAAACAATAAATATCAATCTATAAAATTTTAATAATTAAACATACTTTGACACTGTTTCACAATTACTTTCAACATTTTCAGTGTTAGACTCTGTTTGGACCGAAGTCAACTCTTTACATTCTGTTCAATTTACTCTGGAAATTACAATTGGGTATTATGCTCTAGATATAATTATCATATATTTATTGACTTATTTATTGTCAGCTGTTCTAGCTATAATAAAGAAAATATTTCAAACAAAAATTATAATTTACTAAATTTACCATAAGACTTATATAAATTTACAGAGCTTAAATAAGAATAAACTAATTAGGATTTGACAATTTATGATATGTTTACGTTTTTCCTAATTCTTCAAAAAATAGTATAAGAATATAAATTATATTTGTTACAATACTTCTTTCTTTGGACTTTTACTCTTACTACTTGGCTACATATCGAATTGTACTTGACAATTTATAATCAGTACTTCCCGAGGCTGACATCAATTTAATATGCTGATGACCAAACAATAGCTATACGAGGGTTGTTTGAAAAGTCCGTGCAAAGTCAGAGAGATGGCGCTACTAGTGCGAATCAAGCTTATTTTTAGTTAGTGGCATATCTTGGAAGAGCACACCAAGTTTCAGCCAGATCGGCCAATTACTTTGCATTTTACATTCGTTTCAATCAAAGAAATCGAGTGGGTGTAAAAAAATGGACGAAAAAGAATTTCGTGTATTGATTAAACATTACTTTTTCAAAGACAAAACTCCTCAGAAGATTAAATTGAAGCTTGATAAACATTATGGTGATTGTGCACCTTTAATTAGAATGGTTTATAAGTGATTTCAAAATTTTCGGAGTGGCCATATGAGCACAAAAGACGCTGAACGTTCTGGACGCCCTGTTGAGGTTACCACTTCAGAAATCATTGATAAAATCCATGATATGGTGATGGCTGACAGAAGAGTGAAAGTGCGTGAGATTGTTAGTACAGTAAGCATCTCGAGCGAACGGGTACATAATATTTTGCACCAACATTTGGACATGAAAAAGCTATCCGCTAGATGGGTGCCGCGATTGCTCACAATTGACTAAAAACGAGATCGTGTGAAGTGTTGCAAGAATGGTTTGCAGCTGTTCCAGCAAAATCCGCACGACTTTAAGCGTCGTTTCATCACTGTAGATGAAACATGGATACATCACTATACTCCTGAGACCAAAGAACAGTCTAAACAATGGGTTACCAAGGGGGAATCTGCTCCGAAAAAGGCGAAGACAACTCCTTCGGCCGGGAAGGTTATGGCGACTGTCTTTTGGGATTCGCAAGGAATAATCTTCATCGACTATCTGGAAAAGGGTAAAACCATTACAGGCGAATATTATTCATCGTTATTGGATCGTTTGAAAACCGAGTTGCTAGAGAAACGTCCACGATTGGCCCACAAAAAAGTCCTCTTCCACCACGACAATGCGCCAGCTCACGCCTCAGCAGTTGTGGCCACAAAACTGATGGAGATAGGGTTCCAACTCGTTTCACATCCCTCCTATTCTCCAGACTCGGCTCCGTCGGACTACTATTTGTTCCCTAATATGAAAAAATGGCTGGCGGGGAAAAGATTTTATTCAAACGAGGAGGTGATTGCAGAAATGAATGCCTACTTTACAGACTTGGACAAATCCTATTATTTGGGAGGGATTAACAAACTAGAATAGCGTTGGATGAAGCGTATAAGCCTAAAAGGAGACTATGTGAAATATAAAAAAGATTTATTAAAAAAAATCAAGCAGTTTTTATTTTTGCACGGACTTTTCGAACAACCCTCGTATATTGTACAATTGAGAATTTTCTTATTTTCCCTCTTTTAAATAAAACTAATTTGAAACGCGGAATTCGGACATGGTATAATGATAGAACAGCCACAAGTGTACAACAGACCTAGAAGCGTTATGTATAGGAGAAATAGAAGTTTGGGATGGGTGACCGAATGCTCATCGCTGTAGCTTTCCAACGCATGTTCAGAATTTTGGAACGATGGAATAATACAATTTACGCTATCTGTCAGCAAACGGCACGAATTAAGTTATAGACCCAATATATATCTTTCTTCGTTCAAACAAATTAATTTATTTACTTGTAAGCTACACATAAAATGTATAAGCTAAAAAATTGTGCGTTATATTTTACATGATCGAATAACTATGATGCCGAGATTAACGGTCAGCACAGTTCAGTGCGTCACATTACATTACGCTATACTTCCTTTCAACGCTCAATTCGACAACCTCAATAGCGGAAACTAAGATTTCACAACGGTATTCTATATAAAATACATTGAAGAATCTAAAGATCATAAATTTTTTTTAAATAATCTGAATATTTTTAATTATAACCAATTTTCTGAAAAAAAAACTATTTATTATTTCGTAATAAATAAATAATTAGATTTTTTACTATTTATATTTTCTAAGAACAAGTCTTTCTGCGTATTTGGCAAAAGTTTTTTTGATAACTCAGGTCATTATATAGGTAATAAGTGTACTGAGTTTGAAAATAATCGGTGGTTTTGATCTTTTCAGGTGATTGAAATAGCCAATAATTGATTTATATTTTTAAGTTTTCTTTGATTGAGACAAAAAACATTTATTCATGCTTCACACGGAGTATTCTAACACGATACAGTAAATAGAATTTGAGATAAAAGCGGTAACAGTTAGCACTGCAACGATGAAATGGATACAAGTAATAAATTCTGTACTATTATAAATAAAATAATATAAAAAATGCAAAAAGAAATAGAAATATCTATTATTTATTACCAGCTAGTGACAGATGACGCTGAGTTTTTTATTTTTCTGATTTCTTTGGTGGCCCATGTTGATAAGTTTTTTGTTCGGCTAGTTCGGGATCTCCTTCCCTTATTTAATAAATCCGTTAATGCATCAGTTTCTATCATAGGTAAGATCTTCATTCCAAATACAATAACTAAATCTCCGAGGAGACCGGCGGATGCTGCAATATTACTGTCAGAGTGTTCACGATCTTGAGCTATAGTAGTAACAAACTGTATAATAAATGGAACACTTGGTTCGACTAATGAAACATCAGCACTTGGACTTGTACTCGAACTATCACCACGAAGCCCTTGAATTATCCCGGTATAAGCTTCCAAGACACCCTCTCTGAGGTCATTCAAATAGTCAATCATGTCATAGTCTGATCTATCAACATAAGCTTGTGAAGCTTGAGCTAATGTTTGCAGTACTATTTCCAAGTATTTTTTAAACTCCGGACCAATGCTCAGAGCAACATCACCAAAAACTGCAAGTATTTGTGGTTTTACTGACCGATGTACGCTATTATCACTCAAGTTTTCTAATAATAGTGTCATAATTTCATCACAATATGGGAGCATCTTATTCTTTAGAGCGCGGCATATATCTCCAGTAAGTCCTACAGCTGCACCACAAACTTGATATTCAGCATGATTTTTTAATCCCAAACACAAAAATGGTTTAAAAGCTTCCATGTATTTTAAAAATCCTTCTCCAAGTACTTCTACTAATGTAGACACAGCCATCAAAGCATCTTCTTGAACACCTCCTGATTTGCACGAATTCGAATTAAACATGGATAATAGTGCAGTCATTATTGCATCTGATATTTGTGGTGCATCTTCAGGAGTAACTTTTCTCAACACTGACTGTAAGGTAGCACATAATAATGATTGAAGATCATTATACTGTGCTCGATCAGAATGATTTTGAATGTGCGTTTCCATTTGCATAACTTGTTGCAATCGTTCCAATATCACCATGGTAGTTTTTTGTACAGTAACATAGCAGTCGCGGGGTGAATTTTTAACCATTTCCATTAAAGCTTCGTAAGCGGCAGATCTTAAATTAGCTTGAGCTCCGTCTAATCGATCCGTCGTTTCTAAAAGTCTCTGTATTATGAAATCGAAATAATGAGACATACAATAAGTTTCCGGTTGTCCATCTTCTGATGGTTCAGCTGATTCATAACTAGCTTCTGCAAGCCCCGTAAAAGCCCAACAAACATTAGCCGCTACGCGAGGTTCTGCTTTCAAACCTGTTACTAGCGACTCTAAAAGCGGTTTTAAATATGTTTCATTGATAGCAGCTTCAGGAATTATTTCACATATTCTTCCAAAAGTCCAAGCTGCTGTATCACGTACTGCAACACTGCTATCGTACATTAATTCTATTAATGTAGGCATGGCTTGTTCAACTAATGGTTTTAAAGTGTTTGGCTCTAATCCACCTAATATTGACCCAAATGCCATTAAAGCTGCATCGCGATAACGCCAATCGGGATTTTTGATATTATCTTTGACAAATGGAAGAACATATGGAACGATACCTTCTTCACAGCAGGAAGCTAACAACATTAGACAGACTCCAGCAGCTTTTGAAGGATTCCAATCATCTTCATCGTCGAACTCTTCTTGTTTGGTCAGTTTTCGCATAAGAACTGGAACTAAATATTGCAAAGCTCCTTTAGCATAATGCCGGGAAACTTTCGACGGTGGACGGCCTCCTTCTGACGCTTCTCCTTCTTCCATAGAGAGGTCAACTTCTTCATCTGACACATTGGACCAAAACTCAATTCCTTGTAAAGCAACCTCATCAATCTCGGATTTCATTGCTTCCAATGTTATCTAGAAAAAAATATTTTAATCAGTGTTTCAAATATAATAATGAAGAAGTCTTATGTTTACGATGGGATTTTACTCTTTTTTCATAGAAAACAATCATATATTAGTAAGTTATTGCAAATACATGATATACTACTATAGAATTTATTTTAAGTACATTTACTTATTAATTCGATTATGAAAAATTGTTAAGTAGATTTTTATCTGAAAAATAAATCTGCATAATAGTAACCATAAAATTTATAACGGAGGAAATCAAACAACACCGATGTGATTATACTCTCTGCTATTCGTACAACAATTAAAAGGATTGTTTTCAGAAATCATAAATATTCCTACGATTACATAGTTTACCGGGTATATATGCTACTCTCATGCAATACTAACATAAGGATCAGGATCTAGATTGGTCTAATATACGATGACACTCAATTTCAGAGCGCTTTATTATTACATGGAACTATATAAATAGATGCAGTGACGTCACTACGTCTGCGACATAAACAAAAGGCGCAATTCCACAAAGTGCTCGAAGAAATGACAACGCTGCACTATAGCTCTCCATCGTTAACTCTGAAAACGACAGTCAATCATAATGTATTGAACACGTTATGCGCATAAGCTAGTAAAACTGTATGACTATACACACGCAACTATCACGCCCTATAAAGATATAAACTACATAGATGCGGCATAGAGAGAGAGAAAATGCATAACACTCTGTTATGAGTCTCCACTATTGCTATGCACCGTTGCTGATGCTGGTTCCTCTGTTTGACGCTGCATCTGTTACTGCTACTCTTGATATTGCTACTAAGAACTATCTGAGCGCCCCGTCCAAGTAGGTTCTTACCGGTATCTGCACGGAACCAGTTTTATGATCAACTGGATACGACCTAACCACCAAACACAACACATCATGATACAAATAGAACTCCCGGACCGAACGTGTATTCTTTTCTTCTTTCGGCCAGCTCCTCTTGGATCGTTCGTTACATCTAAGAGTAAGAGAAAGAGAGAGAGAGAGAGAGAGAGAGAGAGAGAGAGAGCAAAAATGGATCTTTAGTAAAATTGAACTGCCGTCCGGCCTTTTTCTTGCGCGCCGATTTGGGAATATTCGCTTTCTGATATTCTACAGGGTAGAGCGAAATCCATGGATTGGGGTGGTAGTTCGGTTTACACTGAGAAGAAACGCACCTCGAGAGATAGTTCAGCCTACCTCAAAGCACCGAAAGATGGATTCAATTTTTGCCTGATTGCCATAAAACAGATTTGGAATTTCTTAACTCGCTGCGTAAAATTCAAATTGTGGATGCGTTCCTTCATCTTGTACTATTGGCATTGTGTGCCATAAGCTTGGCTTAGTATATCGATCATGTACATTCACTCCACCATTGCTCGTCTCCTTAATCCTTGGAAGACCAGGTAAACGAGCGATTGTTGCAGAAGCAGTTTTGGCGAATGGTGCCATCGTTTAAGTGTTTATTATATACGGTCTAGCTCTGTTGTGGGATCGCCTCTGCTAGCACAAAAGAGGTATACAGTTTCTTTTCCGCTCCTTCTTTTCTGCGCAAACAATTCAATTTACATTAATAAGAGAGTCTGTTGCGAGTACCACTAAAATGGCAGCTATACGCTGTGGTGACCGGACAATTTGACTTCGACGTCGAAGCATTACTCTAGATACTTCTCTATTAGTTCGGCTACACCAGAAGTCAGAATCTTCGGATCTTCTCCAACGATATTATAACAGGAACCATCTGAATTTTAAAAGAATTAAGATCATTCGTTTGTCGGTCTTTAACTACGTCAGATAGCAATTCTTTGGACAATACAGCGTGTAATTCACGCATTTCTACTTCGTCGTCAATGTGGCTTTCATTATAGTGTCACCTCTGCTTTTCCTGCGTCTGCTCGATATGCTTGACCAACAGACTATGCAGGCGTTTCAAGCCAGTCCATTCATCCGGAGTCAGGCACATGAATGAATTCTGTTCCTTCACCTCTCTAGGCAGGCTTTTCGCCTGTAGTGACAGATCAAAATTTATGAACGTAAGCAATATCTTTACTCTTGTGCTAGCCTGCCCACAGTATTCACGGCATATCACAATTCGTGCATGTGTGTGCTTCAGTCGCAATAATCGTGATTCATGAAAATGGAGATCACGATCTTCAACGGATTAGTCGTAAAAATCTATTTACTGGTGGTACGATGGACATGTGCTCAATTCCATACTTTTTCAATATGTTATAGTGATAATGGTAAGAATTCCGCCACGCCGTAGATCTTACCATTATCGCTAACCAAATACTCGGGAATCTCTTAACAAAACAAAATCAGTTTCTCGAGGGTATAATAGAGTCTTGTCATTAGCGACATACAGTGGTCTGTGTTCTTTACTCATTTGGTAAACAAATCATGGAAAACCACCAGATAATTGTACCCATTTTTATTCCGAGGTAGAGAGAGTTCAACGACATACATTATAATTACTACTCATCAAGCCTTTAGACGCGCGTGGATCTACCTGGAATTTCTGGCATTTGAGGTATGACTGTACGGAGTGTTGTACCTCATACCACATACATGGCCATAAATACTCACGTACTATACAAGCATATGCATAAGTCTTCCTGTGACCAAAGTATTCTGACAATAGTTCATAATGGCCATCTCGCATGATACATTCTCGACGCTCTCCCCAAACAACGAGTACCCAGCACTGCTTTTTATGAGTTACTGGGTCCGAAATTTCGTTAATACTATATTTGAATAGTATTCTGTCTTCTACGTTACAGCCACAATACTTCAGTGGTCATGCATCCATCCAATTTTCATACGTTTGGAGTACGACTGATCGCTGATGATATCGAAGGTTTTCACTTCCACTTCACCCCTAAATCCACTGAGCAACATGATTTTTAATGGAAAGAAATACATGCCTTCGATATATGGCTTAAGCTTCTAAATGTCAAACAGCAATCCTAAATACTCAAGTTCTAACACAGTGTGATTTCTCTCTTGAGCCACACCAAATGATCCTCGAATTTATCAGTACCATAATTATATTGTTGAGATTTTTGAATATATCCGCTTAAAATCTAATCCAAATAAGCGTATAAAAGTTAAGGGAGCATTCAAATGCTAAAATAAACAGAAAAGTTAATCGTATTTTGAATCTGAGTGGGGCTACTTAAGTTGAATGTAATCAGAGAAAACATAAAGAAAAAATTTACATTTAATAAGGTTCTTAAAAATAGTTAATAAGAATTCTTTTATACAGGCTGTAATAAAGTAACAATAAACCCAAAAAATTTTCCAGCTTACAATATTTTTATAAATACTGAAGGTCACTCTTGTAGTAAAATCCAACGAGAAATTCAATGGGGACCTTGGATTTGACCTTGTGCTTGACCTTCAAGGTCATTTCAAGGTCAACATTTTTTTATAATGGGAACCCCCATTTTTGACAACAACAATCGTAGGAGCGGGAAATTCTACGTCCAAACATGTGCACAGGTCATAGATCAAGGATGACCTTGAAATTCATTTGAAGGTCATTTAAACTTCATGACGGTCTGACGTTGTGTAAGGTTTTTATCATTTTAGAGATCGTTTCATTTGTAGCTTTCGACGGGGAATCCATAGGTGACCTTGGATTTGACCTTAAGCTTCATCTTCAAGGTCATTTCAAGGTCAACTTTTTCTTAAATGTGAACTCCTAGTTTTTATTTCAGAACTGGAAAGAGTGAATAATTTTACGTTCAGATATGAACTTGACCTTAGGTCAAAGTAACTCCTGAAGGTCATTTCAAGGTCATATTTGATTGTAATGACGCATTAAAAATAAAAATTCGTTTCGGCCGCTATGTTCACTTTATCAATTTTTTTCTCGAAATCTATGGACTTTAGAAAAAAATTCATAAGAACAAAAATGTCTTAGAATCACTCGAGAAATATCCTAAAATTTTTTCAGAATTTTTGGAGACATTTTTGAAAATTCCATTTCCCAAGTTTCCCGAAAAATCAAAAATTTTCTCAAAAAATTCTGAAAAAATTTGAGAATGTTCCTCGAGCGATTCTAAGGCATTTTTGTTTTTATGAATTTTTTTCTAAAGACCATAGATTTTGAGAAAAAAGTTGATGAAGATTGAAAAAAAAAAATTCGTTTTTTCCGCCATTTTGTAAAGAAGCGATGGTTCAAGGTAAACAAAAAAATTCCCTGTTAAACTTCAAATCCCATGATCACCTTTGATTACGGTCGCAAGGTGATATCTTCACCGTAACACTTCGAAAAAAAATCCTAAAAATTTTTTTTTCGAAAATTTAGGTGTTTTTTATGTTTCAATCGAGCATATCTCTTTTCCTGTGAGTTTTATCATGATTCTGGCAACGGATTCTGAAATTTTCAACGCCAATTACATAGGAAAAAATCACTTTGAAAACGTGCAAGAAATTTTGACATTTTGGACGTTAATGGGTTAAATAAACGGAAGAACGATATTAAAAATTAAAAAAAAAAAGAATATTCTACGTTTAAACAACAAGTTCTAAGAAATAATAAATATTTTAATACACGTAATATAAATTAAAAAAAATAATGTCTTATGATAAAAATAAGGATGAAATAAATAAAAATGTAACATCATTATTTTCGCAATTTTATTCTTCAAAAGCATTAGATGATACAATAGAATAGTAGTAGATACAATAGATGAGTAGATACAATAGATGTACGAGTTGTGATCAAAAAGTAAGGTGAATTTTTATTTTTCTCAAAAAATATTTATTTATTCATCAATTTTTATTTTATCTCCTTCAAAGTAATCCCCCTCGGATATAATGCACTTGTGCCAACGCTTTTTCCAATCCTCAAAGCATTTCAAAAAATCATTTTTTGTGATCTTGTTTAGTTCATCCTTCGATGCCGTCTTTATCTCCTCAATCGTGGCAAAACGCCGTCCTTTCATGGGCCTCTTTAGTTTTGGGAACAAGAAGAAGT